AAGAACAGCAGGTTGGTGTTTTGAGTGATGCTGAGCTGTTTTCTCTTGGCATGCATATTTTCCCACTACCCTTGATGCTATCTTAGTACTTTGGTGGGTTTTTCCTTTCATTTGCTTTTCTCATGGCGGTATCTTACCTCTCCAACTCCTCAGGAAATAAAGATTCAGCAGCTTCCAAAAATAATTTACTTTGGAAAGAAGTCAGTCATTGCTGAGTGCAACTGATTGTTTCAGCTTGAGTTAAGCATTTTTACATATGTCAGGCCTCAAAGGTTACCCAGACTATTACATTTTGAGTACATTCTTTTTAGAGTCTACAGTTTTTCCCCAAGACTTTTGTAAGTCTAGCCTGCAGCTAGCCCCCCAAAATACTCTTCATTGTGAAAAGTGTGAAAATCTCTTAGTTTCTCACATTAGAGATCATATATTGGTGACAGCATCTTCATTTCACAATGTGACTGAGCTTTTAGAATCTCAGGGATATTTTAATTTTAGACATCCGCAAGGCAGCCAGATGGCCCTCTGCATAGGCTTGTTAAGGCATCACTGCTTAGATTCTATCTCTAGAGATGAATTGACTTCATTCTTTCAGTAAAGCAAAGCCTTGAACGCAATTTATTCTGGTCTCTGGAGATTTTTCTTTCAGGGTGTCCCCCATTTAAATCCATCTTGTTCTGAAAGCAGTGGGATTTTTTTGAGCATATCTTTGACAGCTTTTTGTGCCTGTTTTGAGGCCATCTCATCCTTACTATTATCTGAAAATGTAAAACTTTTTTTGTTCCTTTCCTAAGTATCAGGCTAATTTGTGCCCTCCCTATGACAGTTTTGTTTTGGGGCATCTCTTAAGCTGCTTACTTTGCAGGAATGAAAATCCCCAGTTTTTTGCTGGAAGTACTTGTTTCTGATCTTGTTCAGGCGCTGAAATAATAGTCATTGATGGCATGTCCCTGACTATAATGGGAAAAGTTATGCATGCAGCCTGTTTTTTTTTAAACTATTTCAGAGGGTCAAAAACATTAGAGAAATCCTGCCCATTGCTGTACACAAACCCCATGAGTGAGAATCCGGTATGATACCTTCAATGAAATAGATTTATGGGCAAGTAAACTTATCCCTGTCTTAGTGCAGACTCCTCCATCTGTTGAACAATTGCACAGGATTCTAAAAAGAGGTTGGAAACTAGAAATGCAGCACTATGTTCCCAACAGTTGAGAGAGACAAGTGGGTGCTTTTCCTCATGGAGTTCCTGTTTATACTGATGGTAATAACTCATGCATTACAGATTAAAATGCCTGATGGAAACCATTTTGCAAAGTTTCATGAAATGGAAGGAACTGATTTACTGATCTCAAAACAGATTTACCTTAATGTGGGTCCTTAAAATTCAAGTTACAGTCTCAATCTTGCTCTCAATGAAGTCATCAGCAAAGTTTGCTGGACATCTGTGGTGGAGAATCTGGCCCTATTTCACAAAGGCCAAACATAGGAGGCATAATAAAATAATATGGTACAATAGAATTAAAATCTGAAATCCATTAATTGGGGAAGAGCTATTTTCAAAGAGGTGTTTGTTAGAAATGGTAAGGACAGAAGAAACGGACAGAAGTAGAGAATGAACTATTAGTTATTATTGAGAATAGAAAATCCCAGGGGTTCTTATGGCTGGACTTAAAGACAGATCTGATTTATGGGGCATCTTTTGTAGTTTTTTTTCCAGATTCATTCTCACAATTTATGGTATAACTATTTTAGTGTAGTTATTACAGAAGATCCAAGGCTTCAAAATACAGGTGCTGATGTGGTTAACTTCAAGAAATCCAGAAGCTATAGCTAGTAGCTCACTGTCACACTTTAATCTGCAAAGATTATCCTTATAATGTACTCCTTTTTACCCCTTGCTAGTAGAAGTGTTCTCTTCTGGCATGCCTTTTACCTCCAAAGCCCAAAAAGAAAAAAAAACAGTTTTCATAATACCTGCTTAGGTGGGTTCCTATGTAGTGTAGCCAGAGGCTTTCAATATCTATTTTTCCAGAGTGTTAGGCTCTGTTTCCTCCAGCTAAAGCAGCTACTGCAGCCAAATCTTGCCCATAACTCTGTAAGGGGTTATGAGTAGGGACCTACTGAATTTGTGATTTTCACAGAAACCACAAAATCAGTAGGTCCCTGTGAAAATGCATGAAATCTGTGAGCAAGCAGGGGTGGGAGGTGGGAAGGGAGCTGCAAACAGCAAATGGTGGGAAGCCCTGGCCCTGAAGCATGGGGGGGAGATGTTCATAGCAGAGCATGGCGGCCCCCCACACCTCTGGCAGAGGGACCCCTGAAGTCCTGCCCCTCCCTGGAGATTGACAGATGGCCATCTGTCAATCTCCAGGGAGGGGTGGGACTGCTGGGGCCCCTCAGCCAGTCAGAGGTGGGAGGGGAGGGGGAAAGCCACCATACTGGCACTGTACTTGGACTGCAAAATTGGGAGGCAACTGCCCTGAATTCGGTAGGTCCCTAGTTATGAGCCTAAAGTTAAACGTCCTCTTGCAAGGTAGGGTGAATCCAGGTAAATGGAATTGATATGCATAGTAAAAGTACAACATAAGCTGGTAGGGCCAATTTCCTGCTTCGCTGTTGGTGTGGACATGGTCGGACCTGAAAAAGGACGCATCTGTGCCCCTTGTTATATGTTGCAACATGCAAGAGCTCTGCTGGTGGTCTGACTGCGCCATCTAGCTGCCATATCAGGCCTCTCTGGGTCTGCCGCACCAGACAATACAGTAGTTTGTCCATCGCCCGTCCAAACTCTTTCTTGGGCAGAAACCTGCGTTGCACCCAGCTGTTGTACTGGAGTGGAGTGGGGGCTCCTTACCTCTGACTTGTTTTCACAGTTCAGACATGTATCACAGGGAAGGCTCAGTTCATAGTGACTTTGTTGTGCCTTGAATATATTGTATAAGCTTGTACACAGGCTTTCAAAAGAACTGCTGAAACTGTGCATAAGAACCCCACGAACTAGGAAACATTTACATGTTGGATCTATGTGCTCTGCCCCAGTGAATATTACAGTACTTGGGGGGTTTTTATCATTAACATTTCAGAATTGCCATTGGGGCAAGAAGTCACTTTTTTCATTATGGTGTCTGCTACAAATGGCTGGCTCAGAAACATTTGTTATCTCTTTGTAGAAAGCACATTGGGAGAAATACTGTCTCAGGCTGATTTTTCTGAGAGAGTATTTTGCACCACTGAGACTCTCTAAAGAAAATAGTACCTGCTTTAATTCTGAACTAAACATTTTGGTCTGCGTGAGTAGTTTAGCTTCTGGTTACAGATATAGGGTTTTGTCTGTCAGCAAGTTACTGGTGTTAGTGTTAGGAGGAGCATTATCTGAATAAATCCCAGTGAACTGTATTTATTGTAGATATAAAATCCTATGCAGCCCCTGATGGATAGCTTTTAATCTCTTAAATCTGACACAGGACACTGTGATCTTGCTCATTGTCATGTGAACTAAAGATGACTGACTAGCTACATAAATTGAATGGCTTAGAAAAGATCAGCAGAAATGTATAGATGGATTCCTATTCTACTCCCAAAAACAGTTTAGAGTCTCATCTGCCTTCTCACGTCAATGGGAAGGTTCTTAC